ACAACCTAATATATCTTTTAGCAGTGACTGCAGCCCATTCTTAGTACCCAATATAAAGGTAGACTACTTCCAAAGGCAGTGATATTATTTATTGTGATTTTTTTATGTGAAAAGATCTTTTATAGCCCTTCTGAAGTACCATTTTTAACACAAACAGTGCCAAGTAAAACATCTAGAACCGTCAAGGTTTTGAATATCAAAACATCTAACAACAGCAGCTAGAACTTGTGATACAGATATATGTGTACTTTCATCTATTATCATTAAAAACTTTACTTCATCTATTATCATTAAAAACTGCATACTTTTTAATGATAGGCTAAGATATTGTTTATAAGATACACTTTAGTTGCCTTCATCTGAATTTGTTTTGCAACACTGCTACCATGAAATGCTTTTTTTACATCCCTCTACAAGATAACATAAATATGTATTTAATTTAGTGTCTCATATTTATTTTGAAGGTACTGAGTATTTTTATTACATAAATATCGATACAAAAATGGAAATCAAACAACCAAAAAATAAGATCTCTAAACTCAGAGTAAACTCCAAATGTAAACAGATGCACATAAAATCTCCATTACAATTATACATGTGATAACATAGTTACTTTGATAGCTCCTTTCCATAGGCCTTTATTATAATGATAAATGATTTGGCATCCAACTGATGTTACAAACTCAAGACAGTAACTTAGTAACACAGTCAAAGTTCCAAGAAATATTCTGGTTAGCTACAGTTCCTAAAATGTTTTCTCCATTTTGATAGCAGCTTTACATGTAAGACAGAGATGCACTTTGAAACTGCTTCCATTAGAGTTTTGATTGTGGCTATATGAATTATTGAAAGTGTCAAAAACTGGCTTTCACAGTCATTCAAAAATGAACATCCAGTAGTTACTGAACCATGCATTTTCAGCAGACATTAAAAATACATGGTCTCTCATTTAAATAGACTGATGATTCTTATTTGCAGTCCACTTATGTTACTTTGCTTACATCTGAATGTGCTGCACTCATAAAGGCAGATCTTTTTCATATTATTTTAGGCAATAATTACAGTAAGAGTGAAATATATCATTTAATTAATTAATTTAGATGTTTATCGTTATTTTAGTGCAGTACAAAGTCCGAGATTCAGAAATTTTGGGATTCTGGCAATTTCTGAATTTTAGGTCATCAGGACACCACATGACTTCTTGTATGGCTTATTGAATTAGACATATTTTTTGCTACACCTCATTTAAACTTATTTCCTCGAATTATTCTACTTTTAATTAACTAACCTCTCAAGGCAGATTGAAAATGAAATCAAAAATTCAAATTTTTAAATTATATACTTTGGTAAATTTTTCTCATATGAGAGTCAAACCTCTTCGCATTTTATTTTTTTATAACAAGTATAAAACTTTCCCAAATATACATACAGGAATCCGGAGACTGAATTAAAACAAAATTTCATTATTTGTTGAAAATGAAATTTTTTTTCTATAATTTGACTGCGTCAAAACATGAATATTTTCAGCCTTTCTATAACTTGAAGTATATGACAACAATCAACGATTGCAAAAATAAAGGCTGAGTAAGGATTTTTAAGCCAGGTAAGGGGTGGGTGTGTAGATACACACACACACATATGCTTGGTTCTGCTGATTGCAACAAAAAGGGGAGGTGTGCACATAGATGTTACAGCAGACTCATATACAAAATTTCAACATTCTATGGCTAACTGTTTTCGAGTTATGCAATATACATACATACTTATGTCTTGAAAAAAATCAGTTTTGAATCTAATTTAAATCCATTTTGGAAAAAGTCCTTTATTTTGTTCATACATGCAGACATCATGGAAAAAAATCATCCAGATGCATTCAGCAATGCTTGAAATGGATATATCTGCGTGAAATTTTTCGTGGTTACATTACTTCCTTTATTTGGTTCAAGGAATTGAAAAAAAAAAAAAAAAAAAAAAAAAAGAGATATATATATATATAGAGTGAGAGAGATAGAGAAGGAAACTCATAGCTGGGAAAATAAACTTTCTCAGAACATAAAGGCATCATTTCTGAAAATTATGAGGAATACAAGGAATTTCCTGCGATTTTGTCATTAAGTTTAGCTACAACGATAAAAATTAAGGATTAATTTATAGAAAATGACCCAGATTTTGATAGAAGATCAAAAACAAGATGAAGCATTTATATATGCATCTTCTATTAACAAGAACTAGTCTTTGAAGGAAAATGTAAATGACATAATTGAAATTAAATAAAAAATTCAGAACATTCATCTTTGATGGAAGAGGGAGCTAGAATACACATTCTAACATAAATATCTATTAGTATAAAAAATTAAGCAAAATTAAATCCTTTTCATGTTTCATTTAATATTTCATTTTTTAGGAACACAATCTTAGTTTTAACTTTATTTGTTGTAGATATTATTGTATACATATATTAAGAACAAGAGATATATTTATGTGTACATGTACTTATTTTCTGCTAAAATATATAGAAGATACATCTGTGTGTGTGCATATATAAATTTGATATATATGTATAATACACTTTTATATTTGGTGAATATTATTACAATTCAGTAATTTGATAAATTATGCAAAGCTTGCACTATGAGACTACGAGCAGATTTTTACAAAGGAATTCTAAGGGTTGTTTACATTACAAATTTTGAAAAAAATCAAAATGTACTATTATCTATCCCAGTCTATCTCTTTGTACATGGAATGCATTTTCCTTGATTACATTTGGTTGCTGGGGATCAAGTTTTCATGCTTGCAAACTATATATTATATACATATTTTCAATGGCAGGTACTAGCCGTCATAGGCGTTGGCCACTACTAAGGTCAGAAGCGGTGGCCACTTTATAATGAAGCCTCCTAATAGGTGGGCCTCTATTGCCTCCTATGAAAGGACAGACAATTTATATCCATGCTTGGGTTCGAATCCCAAACAGCCCGGGATTCGAATCCGAGCTATTGGGTACAGCAGTCACAGTCACTAACCACTTTCCTGTCTGAGTGGCTGCAAACTGTATACATATTCTTAAAATTTTACCCAAATAATAATAAAGTTTATTACTTGCAACCATTATTCTTGGGAAAATTTACTCTCAAATAGTCTTGAATTAAATATATGTGGAAGAATCATTGTAATGAATTTATATTACTATATCTACAAAGATTTTTATTTTTCTTAATTATTTCTGCAAATACAGTTACAAAAGAGTTTATAAGCTATACAAAAAATAAATTAAATGTTTTAGAAATGGCTTGTTTAAAAAAATAAATAAAATCTATTTCTTAGCCGTCACACTATCTGAGAATTTGCATACCAAAAAACTCATAATAAAGAAAAAATTTCATGATTACAATATCAAAGTGTCCATGCCTTTTTATATCTGGAACTCTTTTCCTCATGAAATACTACTATAATATTTGGGAAGCATAGCAAGAATCTTATATATGAACCTGCTTATAGGTATTAAAAGACACAAGATTGTTGAACATATGTACACACTTGGAGAGTTGGAAGATTTTTAAAAAAAAAAAAAAAAAAAAAAAAGAAGACACTAAATTTTGATCTACAAAAAACACTTTTAGAATGATATATCAGAGTGAACTGATTGTCATATTTTTTTTTTTAAATATCACACAAATGCATATAGGAAAAGAAAATATGACACCGTGCAGATTACATATACATTTTTTGAATGTGCCAGGATAGATTATAAATGGTGTTATGTAGTTTTTTTTATAGCTCTCAGAAATATAATTCCATGTAACATGATGCAATAATCTTTTTGATACAAAAATGAAACTTAAAAACATACAATTGTGTTTCCATTAATACAGTAAGAACAGTAAAACTGTTCTGTTGTCTTGTTGACATATTTGCACAAAATGATTTTACATTCATGCTGTTAATATTAAAACATTCACCACAATTTCAATTACATGATATATAAATATAATACATATATAAAATACGCATAAATAAATAATAAATTCTAAAGGTACAAGTCAATTTGTGCACTTCCTTTAAGTTTAATACTACATGGGACATAGCTAGGTAAATTGATGCGCTCTGTTAAAACAACTTTAAGCCTTTGACGCGCGGTGGTTGCGCCTTGAAACCACCAATTTTTCGAATTTTTTTCTCCTCTTCTTTCCGAAATTTTTGAGTGAAAATCAATTCATTATTGATCTATTACCTCTAAATAACAGAAAATGACTATAGAATAATATATATTTAAAGTCTTAGTACTTCAAATCGGATGCCTTTTAAAATTCGTTTTCAATGAGACAAAATAACTTCCTTTTATTAATATAAACAACTTTAAATTCCAAAAGTTATTCATCGCACATCATGATTTCTATCATAAACAATAAAAAATAGCAATAATTAAACTCCATATATATATAAAAAAAAAAAAAACCCTCTATATGTATGGCATATAGAGCCTCTAGAGCATTGTGTAGAGGCTCGGTGGTCACGCCTTGAAACCACTGCTCTTCACAATGGCGTTTGCTTGCTTCTCAAATAGGAATGTTTAATTTTACCCGGATATAGATAAGGAGTTTTGAAACCACAGAGTTATTTTATTACTGAACAATACATGCACTTGCCCAGTAAAAGGTCTTTCTTTTCCAGACACTTTTCTCTGACCTCAACACACTTGCTCCCCAAGCTAGTATTGTGATTTTATAAATTATTTCCTGTGGTTTAAATTTAATGTAAATATACTTTGCTATAATTTAAATATAGAAATTGCGTAAAGTTTTATTTAAATAAAAATATTTTCTGAATATTTTGGGATGAAATACGAATAACATAAGTATGAATGGGAAACGAATGATCCGTACCAAAGCCAAAAAGAGCAAGCCCCCACCCCATTAACATAAAAAACCCCAAATTTCATGCGCCAGATGAAAAGAAACTAAATAACACTGGACATATACAAGTGAAATTTAGATCCAGGCAGTGCACATTTTGTAGCACAAGAAAGAAACCTCATAGAAGAAGATACATGTGCGAGATGTGCAATGTGGGTCTATGCATGTACCAAAAAGACAAAACATGCTCTGAACAGTGTCACAAAAAAATGAATGACCAAATTATTTGCAAACAGCAATAATGGGAAGAAAATGTACTAAACATACCCTAAACAAAGAATTTATCTAAATTAAAAACAAAGTACATTTACACTAATTACATTATTATTATTAAAATGACTTATATTTAGAAAGAAATATAAATAAATGAAAATGACAGCAATTATATCATGGAGAAAGGAGTTCCATTCCTAAATTTTTCAAATGATGAAGGAAAAGCTTTTACAATGAACATAAATATTTCAGAATTTACAAAATAAGGAAATTCTGTCTAAAATAGAATTTGAAACTTACTGGTAAACACACTATAGGATTTGCGAAAACTATGTAATTTAAATTTATTAAAATATCATACACAAACTCATTACAGTTTTTCATGTATTATTTTAGTTACCATTACTATATAAAACTTATACAAAAATTTTTTCAATAAATTCCTTTTTTTCTGTTTATGTAGTAAAAAGACGATAGCATTCTTACAACACGTATTATAAGAATCCATAAAAGAATCAAACTTCATTTTTCAAAAGCCTGTTAAAAATTAATCAATTATTAATTAAAAAATATATATTAACATTAAAAATTTTTATAATTTGCAAAAAAAAGCATCCAAATAAATACATTACCTTTTAAAGTTGAAATTCAGCAAAGTTTTCATTTATAGGAACTTTTTTATCACAGCTTTTCCGGTTTTTTGAAAGTCCCCAGTTGACGACATTTACTTTCCTTACCTTCAAAATAAATAAATAAATAAAAATTAAAAAAAAAAAAAAAAAATTACCTTTGGACACAATTTAAAATATTTCTATACAGTCAAAAGTCGTTAATCCGGACACCCATAATCCAGAATGATCTATAATCCGGACCTCAAAGCTACAAACTTTCTGCGCATGCGTCAACGCATAATGCATTCACGCATGCGCATAATACTTTTACCCATGCGCATATGCATAATACTTTTACGCATGCGCATTTAATGTATAACGGACGGCATAAGTTAAGCTAAAATTATCTAATTATCTATTTCAGTTAATGTTGCAGATTGCATTGTTCCTTAATCTTCGAATTGGATCCGGATTATTATTTTTTGCAGACTGTTGCAGCAATTTTATAAAAGTAAGCTTGAACTTTCGATTATGTCAAATAGAATTTACAATGCTGGAGCTGCTGAAGGATCTACAAAGCGAAAGTATATTTCGATGTCCATCAAACAAAAAGTGAAATTGCTGCAAAAAATGGATAAAGGCATATCCTTTGTTTCTCTAACCATTCCGAAATATGTTTATCAATTTCAAGCTGCTCTGCGGCGTGGCGCGCAATGAATTGGAAGTTGATCTGTCAGCACTATCCTTATCTTCAAGGCAGATGTTTTTATTTTATTTGGCTTATAATTCCTTTCTAAATGTAGTATTTCATCTCGATGTACTCCGTCTTTGATGTGATTTAAATCAAATTCCTCGTCAATTCGCTTCTGATAGTGAAGAAAGTGACACAGAGGTTATTGAAAACGAAAAAATTTCGATTGACAAATTAGTCGATATTCTCGACACAGCAATTACAGGACTTGAACAACGGAACTTTGTAACTGAACAAGAAATTATGTCTGTTTATAGAATTAAAGAGAAGGTATTATCACATAAAACGAAGCAACTTAAACAACTTACATTAAAAGAAATGTTTAATAAAGTAAACAAGTAAATATTAAGCTTTCTTTTTTTGTAAATTTTGATACCCTTTAGACTGTAATTGTTCTTTATTTCATAAATTACAGTTTCATATTTTTAATTTTATAATTTCTGCATGCCATCTTACCAGATTTAAACTGATGATCTATAATCCGGAATCGCCGAAGTCCCGACGAGTCCGAATTAAAGACTTTTGACTGTACTATTTTTGAGCAAATATTATTATTTCAATTTTTACATATCTTAATATGAGATTTAACCTTTTAAAGGGCACCGATATATAAAATATACCGGTTGTTTGCCAATTTTTTAACCTCCTAAAAATGCTAACTTTTCTACACTAAAAGCTGTAATCTTAAGTTTCTAGTGTTTCTTTTTGATTCTAAATGGCAGCACTACCCAATGAATGCTCAATATTTTGTAGTTATGAAATTAATATACCTTGTTTCAAGGCATCACATTTGAAGATTCATAAATTCTATTGGAGGGAAAGAAAAAATTCAAAATCTGCAAATATATGACGTATGCATGCTTAATCTTATATATTTACTTTATTTCAGTCAGAAGTGATAATTAACAGAAGATTATTTTATACGATTTTAAAACCGGTATGTAATATATACCAGTGCCCATACAGAGGGTACCACGCTAAAAGATGGCAGCACCAGTCTTCTCCTTTTCTACTCTGTGAGATGACATAATTTCTTTATATTACAACAGTTTACAATGTAATAATTTTTTATAATTAATTTACAAGTTGTTTAGGATTCAGTATTATGTTCATTAGGGGATGTGGACTTTACTGACACTGTGCTAGGGACTGAATACAAGTATATTAGTTTCTTTTTATTCTTTGTTTACTCCACTCGGGTTTCATTCGTCTCTGTTTAGCTAAAATTTAAATTTTCGCCCTTCACCCCTTCCCAGGAGAAAAACTCATTGATTTAAAATTTGCCATCTGGCGTCAAAATATTACACAATTATTGGGATTAAATGTGGCATATTATACACGTTGCTTCATGTTTTCTAAAATCCTAGAATGCAGCAAAAATGAAAGAGGTGATTAACAAATCATTTATCATGCAAAGGTCATGCCTTCTTCCTTTTATGTGATCTGATTTACATCTCCTTGTAACATTATACTAGTTCAGTTGCAGCATGATATGGTTTACGCATGCAGTGTTATATTTGCTAAATTTTTTTATAAAATAATAATATTGAATTTAAATCAAGTTCAAGAATTTAATTCAAAAGCTTTTTACCCATATTTTACATAAATATGTTCAGCTGGGTTACATCATCAAGTGCATAAAAACATAAATTTTATTTTTAAAATTTTAAATTTCTATTGAAATTTTAAAGGTTTTTGTCTTCACACTTACAAAATTATATTCAAGCACCCATCTCTACAGAGGCATATCAAAAGTACGCAAAATTAATTTTAGAAACAAAAATTAACAATTGGCACCTACCTGGAAAAAAAAAAATGTCTTAGAGGGGCACCGGTATAAAATATATACTGGCTCCCAAAATTCAGGATTTCTCTCTCTAGATTTTTTTTAAGTCTCAATTTTGTGTTCTTTGGGACCGTAAGTTACAATTCATGCAAAATTTGACCACAATTTAAATTATTTTATATACCGCCCCTCAAAGGGTTAAAGAATAGTTTTGAGGACAACACTTGATGAAGAATCAAAACACAATTTATTCCCCAGTATTACACAGGAGAGTTTTAAAGACACGTTTACAGCTGTTGAAAACTACGATAAACATACTGAAACAATCAGGAAACAGCCTTCAGGCTATAATGGTGAAGACAATTTCACAGCAAAGCAATAAAGTACAGCTCCCGACTTAGTTCGGTCGTTCTTAAACTAATATCTGAACTCAACATACTCTCGCTACACTACTACTAGGTGTACATGCAGGGTATATATAGCTTTAACCTGCCTTCCAGAACATTCTTGGGAAAGTCGGTAAGAATTCGTTCTAGAATATTTTCACTCCATCTATGGCATATAGCCAAATATGGCAACCCCGCCTTTCTTTGCCACCTTCTGGTAACCATAACCCCTATTTGCAGCTTATTTGGAAGCTATCTTATCATAGCTGGGCATTTCGTAACAACATGAAAATGCAGTTTTCAAAAATCTATGTGCATTATATAATTTAAAAAAAATTCAAGACTATAAAGTTGATTTAAAAAATATCAGTCATTAGATTACTAATTAAACATCTTTTTTTTCCAAATATTTCCCTCTCGCTTTCTAAAACTGTTTCAGAAATTATAATTATTGATAAAATTTAATGATTAAAATGCATATAAAACTGGGAAAAAAGAAAAACATTTAATAATCAATAAGGGAATAAAATGTTTGATTTTTTTTAAGTGTAACTAACATAAATAAATGAATATGAACCCTAAAGGAATCTGAAAAGATTAATTTTGAAGGAAAACATAAATTGATTTAAAATCACCGACAGCTAAACTACCTCTTACATTTTATTCACTTTTTCAGAATATTGAAGCAATTTATCTTAAAATTCTTACTGATTAAGGACTATACAGGACATCTATTTACATACTTGATAATCTTTTAGCCATTCTTTAACTTTTTTTTTTAATGCATCAAGCAAGTTGAAGCATAGAATCTGATACTAAGAATATTAAAACACAATATATTATAATTGCTTATTTGGAAGGAAGAATATTAATAGGTTAAGAATTGTTTCAGAAAATCCACAGAAAATGTTTTCTGCTGTTTAATGTAGAAATAAATATTAAGCATATTAATATAACATAACATTAATCCCTTACAAATAATTTCCTGAATGAAAGGATCCACCTTTTTCTTTTAATTGAGGAAATTTATCTGTATTCAAATTTTTAAATGAAATATGAATTAGAAATCATATATAAACTAATGCTGATATCACGTATTTTTAATAAAATCTAAAACTTCAGCTACTTTTAGTTCAATTTTGAACTATTCAAAACATGACTTCTCTAAGGTGTCAACCTAGGAGTATGCGAATGAGATATAGAAGAAAGATATAATACATAATTGAGTTTATCATACTCACAGCAATGAACAATGAAGGTTACAGAATGAATGATCAATCAAGATTATTTCTAGCAATACTTGTGAACAGCTGTATGGAATCTTATTTTATTCAAACTTAAACTGCCCGAATTATTGTGCCACTATTTGTCAAACTATATACTGTAGAGTCATTGTGAAAGGAGGTGAGAAACAGACTCATGAGTTCAATGTTAGTTTGCTTCATTATATCAATTAAATGGGAAACAAACAAAACTCACAGCAATAATTAAGGAATTAATGAAACTTAATAACAGGTCTTTAAATGAAATAGAACAGAGTTGGGGGTGGAATCTGGTTCTAGATGACAAACTATTAATGCCTTAAAGTTTCTAAATTACTTACTTCTCAATGAATTTTAACGAAATAAATCAACTGTGATGGATCTAAAAATTACTTCATTATTTCAGCCTTTAGCACACTCAGATTAAGAACCTGACTTCCCAATTTTTGTACCATTACATAATATTATCAGGTCATTTATAATTCACATAACCTGACAAGTTTCTCACTGAATCAAATAAAAGACCTTCATTTTCCATGGATATAATAGCCAGCTTTCTGTCAGCCATAAGACTTTTAATTTATCATACATAATATCATATTATTGCTTAGCAAATTATGCAATTTAAAAGCAGTGCAGATATTTCTTAATCTGAATTAAATTTCATTTTTAATAATATATTTATTTTATAAGGTCTTATCTCTTTCTTTACAGTGTACCTTCCTGGTATAACTGGAAGGTCCTGAGTTCAAATCTTGGCAAAAGCATTGCAGATTTATCATGTTTCCTGCTCCCCCAAAAATTTATATAGATTCTATAAGCAGACCTGAATTAAAATGTGATAAACAATAATACATAACCACCTTGATTTGTTGACTACATCTACTCCATCCCAGTCACCTTTTAAGTGAGTGAGAGTATGAAGAATTTTCCCCTTCCCTATTACATGCACATTTAGGTAGCAGTTGGAAGGTCTGGAGTTCAGATCCTAGTGTTTCACAATTATCATAATTTCTGGTCCAAAAATGTCTAAATGTCTCTTAAGATTGAAGTAATCTGTTTGAAAATACCCGTACTTAAATATTTTAAGCACTGTTGTAATTAATAAAAGATGTTTCTAAGGTTACACAAGATGGTACACATTTTTTTTTTTTTTTTTTTTTCTTTCAGAGTGCGGGTAACATTTGGTAGCAAACCTAACATTCAATTAAACTAGTCTCATTACAATAGAGATACTTAAATATACTTGGGTATGCTACAGAAAATAAAGTTTTATAGAAACCTCAAGGAGTTACAGTGCAATAAAAAAGAAATTATATTATCATTTATTTATCACTCACATTACATGGCAAGGACTGCATTTATACAGGATGTGATATCTTTTAATAATTAATATGTAATGTTTAATTTCAAATTAAAAGTATAAATTGACATTACTTAATACACTAATTGATTTAAATGCAATAAACATATCAAACTAGTATAATTTACAATACATTCCTAGAGAATATATGAATAGCAAAATGATATAATTTATAATACATCTAATTAAAAATTTTATGAAGTTTTGAATCATTTTCATAATTAATAAAAAACACTTCCAATATTATATTAAGCACCTTGGTACAGAATAATTTGGTTTTTGTTTATTTTCCAGTATTTTTGTACATAGAAATCTAAAATTTGAAACTGAAATGGTTATAAACTGATTTATGATATCATTACAAATAATGAATTTTAAGTTCAATATTAATTCATAACTGGGAAAATTGACTATTGCGTGCCTAAAGTAGAAAGACTGCACCAAATGAAATAACATCAAATTAAGAGCATATGAACAAGATAAAATTATTTCAAGCATTTAAAAATGTAAGTGCAGAAATCACAGAACTTGTGGATGGAGAAAAACAAACGACAGAAGTTCCATGGTTTTACTGAACAAAGATATCCTCAACGCAGTAGCTCAAGAAGGGACAGTACAAAGTTTAAACAGTCAAATGAAAATTAAGGTGAAACAGCAAAAATAACCACTAAGGAGCACTGGACTGTGTAGATAAGTTTGACAATGTGAAAGAATAAACTGAATAACTAGAATTGTATGCTTGTATTAAATGAATTTTTTAAAAGGGGAGAGAAATGATATAATAGACTTGCTGTTAAAGAAATATTTTTTTGGCACAGGATAAACTACAAGATTTAGATTATAAAATATAGAATGCAGCTAAATGGACAAAAAGAAAAAGCAATTTTGAAATCAAAAACTTTTATACTTACCCACAAATTTAAAAGTCTTTGGTTTTAGAACTTTATTAAAAACATTTTCTGATATCTTTGAATCTTGAATCTTGATTTTTTTCTTCTCATTTTCCAACCTCATTATTTCTTCTTCATTACCACTTAAAACAATATCGTCTAGTTTACTTCCAAAATATGGAAGAGGCCCAGGCCCAGAGTTAGAGTTGCGAGATTTCTGAAACAGCACACAAAAGAAAAAGACGAATATACGACAGGATTCCGGCAGACGATCCACCAGATGAGAACCAACCCAGACCTCATTCGTCCTCCTTTTTTCTCGTTTGATAAAATAGAAAGAGGTTGGACAGGGGAGCAGGAGTGAAAAAAAGGGAGACATATTAAATGATTGATGAATTTTATAGTATGTTAAATGAGATTGTAATACAACCCGATTTCTGAGGAACATTACCACTCATAGGGAAGGAGGAAAGGAAGCGGGAAAGAAAGGAAAGAAGAAGGAAAAAATTAATAAAAGCTGACGGGATGCAGAGGAGGGCGGAGGGGCAGGGGGGCCCGGAAGAGGGGGCGAATAGGGTGGGGGAAGGACAAGGGAAAAAGGAAGGGAATGCTGGGCCTCGTTGTTTGTTGTTAAATTGTTAATAAAATTTTTTCTTGTCAATTTTAACATTTTGGTTGGAATTTAGAAAGTTTAACATTGTCACGGTGGGGGGAATTGGTTTCCGCAGAAACAGGCGTCGATTGTATTAGTTTGGGAAGAGACGTTTTGCTAAAAGATTGAAAACCTGTACAGGTGGGTGTGGTACGGCGGGAAAAAACCGGGAAACGGAGAAAAAAAAAAAACCACCCGGATGAAACCAACAAACTGGTCCCACTCCTTGGACTGGGGGAGGGGGAGCTGGGAATGAGTCACGAGGAGAGGGGAAAAGCACTCAGAAATCCACTAAGAAAAAGAGACAGAGGAGCAGGGTAATGACAACTATGGGTCGGGTGGGGTGGGAACACCACGGGGGGAAGAAAGTTGGTGTTACAAAAATCCAAGAAATTTTGATGTCTTCTGTGAAAAAACACATAAACAAAAAATGATAATATGTTATGAACAGTAATTTCAGTCTTCACCAAAAAATTGAAACAAAAAAATGTTTTGATTCACCAAAAGTTACCTTAACTTACCTTTAAGAGAGTGAGAGTATGTAAAATATTTTTACAAAAAAAAAAAGGAAAAAGGAGCCCACGACGGCACCAAGCGGAAGAAACAAGGGGGAGAGGGAGAGGGGACAGCACAAAGAAAAACTGTTAGAAGCCAGTGAAGCGGGTGAAAAACAGGGCCAGTGTTGTCTTCTTTTTTTAATTTTATCGTTTTTTTTTTTTTTTTTTTTTTTTTTTTTTTTTTTTTCAAAAACAGGCCCACCCAAAAAAACAACCGGGAGGGTCGGGCCGTTATACTAATTAAACTGATGAGGGGGGAGTGATTCAACTATAGCGGTACTAAGACTGGGAAAACGGGAAAAACAACAATAAAAGACTTAGGATAAGGAACAAGTAGGAAGGAATAAGGGAAGAAAAGGGGGGGGCAGGGAGAGCGAGTAAGGAGGGGGGCAAACACAAAAGAGAATGCAGAAGTGAAGGACGGGCAATACAATGAAGGGACTTTTTTTTCTTTTTTTAGCTCATTTTTTCAATCTATTATGAGTGTCCATCATGATTTAAAAACAAAGGAATTATTTGCTGCCCATTTATTATACTGTTTTGAAAACGGTTTAAAAATGTAATTAAAGGTTAAGGCGTGGCCCCAGACCGAAGGGAAAGTGTGTAGTTTAGTGACTTCCCAATTGCCGCATCGAAAGGTTTCCTGGGTTCTGAAATTCTTCGGGAATTATATAGGGCTGGACTGTTTTGTAAATGTATAGCGTGTCTTGTTGGGCACTCTTACCATGGGCAAAGCCGGAAAAGTTCCTCTTGTGTGAATGTCGGCCAGCAAGGAAAAAAAAAAAAGGGTGGGAAGGAAGGGGCCCGTACACCCCTGGGGTGATTCTCCCTTAAAAATTGGGATTGAACAGGAAATACAAGAAGGGGGAAAAGTATGAAACACGAGTAACTTACCCTCCTTCGAAGCTTTATTGGGCAAAACCATTTTCATGAAAATAGGACATCGCAAAACCAAACAAAACTATAAAACAAGGACATTTTTATTGAATTCTGGGCTATTTAAAAAAAAAGGGTCTAATTTTTTTAAAAAATTATACACATTTTACAATCCAAATATAAATATTAAAATTCAAATATTTAATTTTTAAGGCAGTCTAAACTATTAAGGACCAAAAATTCAATGCGTATCAACACAATCTGTAAATCTACACACACACACACACACATATATATATATATAGATATAGATAGATAATAAAGAAAATATTAATTTTAAAAAGCTTTTTTTTCAAATATTAAATTACTGCAAATATTTAAATTACAGCAATTAAAATAGTTTATATATAAATGCAAGTTTGTTAAATAATCAGAAAATGAAAGTATAGTAGGCACTGCTTAAAGTGATTGCAAATGTCCACGACTGTTTTGATAACATTAATTAGTTTGCTAACATTAAACAATAAATTAATTTAATATAACTAAAAACATATAAATACTTAATTTCACAGCATTATAATTAAGTCATTAATAGTAGACTGTATGCAAATGTTATGCATTATGCTTGCAACTGTTAATATTCAGAATCTGTAGGAAATTAAATTCACTGAATTTATTAGCATCCTTTCCAGAAATTTTATAGCATGATAGGCTTGAAACTTTTTCAAAAAGTGACTGGCAAACATATTCTTCTATCGTTAATGCTAAACCTTTATTTTTTTCATCAATATTCATCCAAGCCTATTCCTCATTATTCATATTAGTCTGTGACTTTTTTCTTCTTATTCAATTTCTTTTATTTCATCATTTATAAAAAGATTCACATGTTTAAAGCAGTTCATTGTCTTTCCGAGACAAAGTTCCAAGATCTATTTAGCGAATGCAAGCCAAGAAGGTTAGTTTTCATTGAAAATTCATTGCATTAACATCCATATACTTTATGTTATAAACAGCCATGATATCATCGCTCTAATAATTCCTACATTACACACTTGAATTATGGTTATGGTATTTGCTGGCAAATTATACAATTTCAAAATGCTTAAGAAACACATTTATGCTATGCATTGTGTAGTTGTCAATAATAAAATATCATTCTTCAGTTCATTAACCCATTTCAAAAGCCATTCATAAAAAATTTCTTATGTCATCCATGTCTTTAAATTTTACTTATAGCCTCTAAATAAATTCTATATTCCTCCTTTACAGTCTTGAAGATATTTTCATGTTCTGATTTCTAAAAGTTTTTATTTTTTGCTTCTCATATTGATGCAGACGGTTGCATAACTCTTAATATTTTGTATCTTTTTGAACGTCCAGTTTTAAATAAAATACATTATTGGAGCAATACATGATGAGACCTGTTTCATCAGTAATGTTGTTTGGTTGTCGTTTGACAACCATGTTCTTGCAGCAGGTAAATCAGCACTTCTTTCCTCCACCATTAATGCATACGTAAACGTTTCATCTTTTCTTTCATCTGTTAAACAGCCATTTGTTGCTTAAAAATCTTCTTTCGCCATTTTATGGCTAATTCTTCAGCATTTTGCCACATTTTCTGGATCACTAATTGCCACATCTTTCCCACAAGCATTTGTAAACCAAATGTTCAATGCTTTTTCTACATTGTGATAGTTTCTGCTACACATCCATTTTATGTTTTCATTTTGATTTTGCTTTGATTTGCAAATAATATCTATGTATTTCTTTACAATCTTGCATTATGAAACATTAAACTTAGAGCAATATTTCATTGACTCATTTTTGGGAGTTGGTCATAGCTATATAACAAGTTGACTTTATCCCTTAGGCCCAGATCATTATGTCTTTTACTAGTCTTCATAATTTTAAAATTAAAAAAATAAATAAAAAAGTAAAAGTGACTAAAAAAAAACTAAACAGAATTAAAAAAAAAAAAAAAAAGAAAAGAAAATGTAAAGCAGAACAAAGAAACTTTTGGGGCAAAGCAAATTTATCTAAAATTCAATTTTGTTAAACTGGTTAGTCCAGTCAGTCTTCATAACAACATTAAAAAAATGGTTCGAGTTTTCTTACCTGTGGATAATATTTTCTTTATTATCTTTTACATCAGAGACAGTGAGATTATTGAGTAATTTGATATCTGTGTGGCTTTCTTTTTCAGTAGTTTCATTTAATGCTGGAGTTGAAGTACAACATTCAAGCTCATTAGAAACTTGAAGAATTTTATCCTTCTCCTGATCACTAAGTTCAGATTCTGCTCGACTTTCCCCATAAGTTTGCTCATCTGAAGTAACGAAAAACCTGGATGTAGAAAATTACAAAGTTTATATGGTAAGTATAAAAAAAGTTTACTTAAATGAAACAGCATTTCTAATTAAATATTTTCTCATAAGACAAAGAATATAAATCTCATGAACATAGTACACAGTATTGTTTGCACAATTTTTAACAATTTAATTTAAGCCAGTAACTGAAATAAAAGAAGTATTAAAATATTGCAATACATTTCACAGTAAAAGATAAATTACCATGTGCTGTAGATAAAATTTTTTAATGTTCAAAATGACTCAGCAATTTAGATAGATTTTGGATAGAAAGCTAAAACTTGCACTTTCTGAAGGAAAGTATATTTAATTTTCAATAAAAATAATGTAAAAATTTTGAAATTAAGATATACCAGGGGATCCAAGGAAACAACAAAAAAACCTTCTATTATGGGACTGCCGTGCACCCTTGTGTTTCTTACAAATTGGGACCAATATTTCTATACCAAGTTTTAATAGATGATAAATAAAAGCTGGTGAGGCCATCTAGAAATCTCACAAATAAGCAGATAACAGTAACATTTGTCCTCTCCCTGGTCTATGCTCAATTAAATATCTGGCCATAATAGGTGACCTTTTTTGATAAGAGCAAACCTTTGTTGCTAGAATGACTAAAACAGATAATATGATTAATGCATTAATGGCAAAACTACCAAAAGCTTGGAAAATCTGCTGACATTGCCTTGCTTTCTCAAAAATGCCAGATTTACCTTGATGCTTCTCTTGCAGGATCCTTACTCATCCTAGAAGCAGTCCAGACCTCTTCTCTTGCAGTTATTTATTTATTTTCTGAGTCACTGAAAATAGCTTTGAAGTGATGTAGTTTTACCTCTGATCAAAAGATCTGTGCTGCAGGACAGAAAGGGTTGTAAATCTAGTCCACTAGCTTCTTCTTCTTCTTCTTTTTTTTTTTTTTTTTCTCAGGATCTAGCAGATGTTACTTTAATGAAAATGACCATAGGTAGGCACCTGTGTTGGTCTGATTTCCAGCTGCTCGGTCAGAGCCTGAAAATCTATTGTGAGTTTACTCATATTTTATCACCTGACAATAGTCTATACTTCAGTAGAACAACCAACATGAGAAAAAATGACATCTCAGAAATATTATTCTAAAGAGCACGGAAGAGTTCAAAACGAAAATTTTTATTTGGCGATCCAGAATAGCCTTTCACAATGTTCCCTACAGAGAACAGGCTACGCATGTGCAATAGTTTGCAAAGCATGATAATTCCATACTCAGTTACAGTTACATGGGTCAGGGGAATGAAAGTGAATTATGGTACTTACTACTACAGTATAAATAATTAATCTATAGGTTATGTATTGTTATGCATTCATTATATGATTTGAATTTTGATTTGCAATACGTTTTAACAGTAAATTATTAAATGAATTTATCTGCTTCTTTTAACAGTAAATCGTTATTAAATAAATTTACCTGCTTCTTACTATCCTCTGTAATGGGCGGTTTGAAACATTGGTGAGAATGTTAGAGGATACATTTTCTTCTGCATTTAAAGGTGAAGAATCATCTACTTTTGTTTTTTTCATATTAACAGATGTAGGTTCTTCATCCGAGCTACTGTTAATAAAAGTTTTTTGCTGCACATCCCCACCGTACATAGCAAAAATATCATCATCCTCATTAATTACAGGGCTTTCATTATCTGTAGCTGAAATTCAGAAAAAAGAATATACATACAATAACTAACATAAATAACATCCTCAAATTAAAATTTATAATAGTGTTTAGTTTATGTTGACCACTACATCACAGGTACATGTAGAAGTGTGGGTGGATATCAGAATTTTACCATTAGACATACAGGCCCACTGCAATTTTGAGGGAGAAACCCTGGGGGGGGGGTGGAAGGCAGTCCACAGGTCTCCAACCCTTTTCTCTCTTTTCAAGAACTTCTAGAAAAGAATTTTGGCTCACCAAGTATTTTGAATGTCCCCTTTGCCACACAGATCGCTCAAAATCAAGACCATCAGTATAGCACTCGCCACTATACTGGCTGGATAAGTGATCAGTACACCACAATAGAACATAAGAGGAATTTTTTATTTATTTATTTTTTTAATTTTTAACACCTCCTTTCCAATGAAAGAGTGGGAGAAGGGGCCAATAACTGACAGTCAACCCAAGTTGCTGACAAATTATGCTCCACTACTTTTAGCTCGCTTTAGCCATTTTTGCAGATACTGCTATATAACTGTGGTAGATGAGAAAACACCTAAGATGGTTGCTCTGTAAGAAAGCAAAAGAACAGCTGCTTTAAAAAAATGTACATTGCATATGTATATTTGTAAGTACAACATCTGAGTAACAGTTGGTGCTTCATGTCCATTGCATTTGATGAATATTTTTTTTTTTTTATTATTATTTTGGGAATCTAAACAATTTATTTTATATCTTTTTCTTTTTAACGAGAATTAAAAGCATATTTTTTAGTATAAGCGAAAGTTTGCTTCTCTCCTCTAAGCATAGTGGTGTGGTATGAGAAAAATGTTATTTTTCTAAGGAATACTTTTTTTTTTCAATATATAATGCTAGATATCAAACTGAAAAGAGAGATTTAAAAAACTGCTTGGTGGAAGAAGATGTCTCATTTTTATGGCAACAATCAGAATAAAACCAAAGCTAGATGAAACTGGCTTTACAGTTCAAAAAAAGTTCAATACATGAGCCACATTCTTAAGAAATTTAGCAGCCCATTATGAAGTATCTCATTTATCAGCCTTTTCTTAGAGTTTCAGGATTACATTCTGACTTTAAGTGTTGCATATTATGTAGCAAAATATATAGGACAATTAATTATTTTAGTTCTGAAAAGCAGTGTTATTTTTCTAAGCTCTTTCAATTGTGTCATCAGAAATATGGAAATAATTATGCTAACATTAATAAATAAAATAATTTAGTGTTAAAATTATTCATTTTTTTTTCAAACTCATGATTTTCTGTAAATTAATTTTAGTGACTGAATTCTGTTATCTTGAAGAGTGAACAGTTTGCGGAAATATTTGTCTCTGAAACTACAAAGAAACAAAAAACAAAAAAAAAAAAAAAAAAAAAAAAAAAAAAAAAAAAAAAAAAAAAAAAAAAAAAAAAAAAAAAAAAAAAAAAAAAAAAAAAAAAAAAAAAAAAAAAAAAAAAAAAAAAATAAAAAAAAAAAAAAAAAAAAAAAAAAAAAAAAAAAAAAAAAAAAAAAACCTTTAAAATTTTTTATTTCTGCAAAAATCTACAGTTCAAATGCTATAAATAAATACTGATTTGCACAGTTAGAAATTTGTGATACTAGGTAGTTATCTAGTTTTAATTATAACAGATTATATTAAAAAAGATGAATTTAAGAATAAGTACATAACTGATAGGCTGATATAAATTTGTCACGTGTAATGTTGAAAGCTGTGCCCTATAATATTAGAGTAATTTACTAATTCATTTTACAATTTTTAAATAATGCATTTTTCAACGATGAATTTATCTAAGATTTAAAAGTATATATGAAAATTACACACAAATTAGAAGTTACCATGAAAGTCAGAACATGCTGTTGATTAAAAGTTTACATACAGAAATATTGCATATTAAAATACATTTCAAAATAAAAATGGAACAAAAACTGACTTTTGATCTTTATTAAATTATTTGTAGATAACTTGTTTACCTTAAAGAACATGAAAATAATTCATATTTTGACTTGCAGATTTGTAAGAACTTGCAAATTACTTATATATTTTACATTTACTAAGAAATGATATGCAAATCCAATTTAACATAAAAATAAAAATCTGATTTTTCTTATTGTTAGAAAGTTATAAAAATATGAGCTACTTTAAGAACATCTACTAAAATAATTTTCATAGGAAATACTTATGAACCCTTACCTATTTGGTCGTGTTTTCTTTTACTTGGAGCTGCTTTTATTTTAGAAGAATTAAATTTGAAAGCCACATTCACAACTTTATTCTGAGGCAATTTAACATTCACGGAATTTTCTTTTGCTCCCCAAACAGCACTTTTCTCATCATTTGGATTTTGAGAATCAGCAAATTCTTTAAAAGTTTTGACATGTATGTTTCCCATAGCTAGCTGATAGGCTAAATCTTCAGGTAAATATCTAAAGTAGGTTTAGGAATGAATATATATTAAATGTAAAAGTAATATAAAAATATTCACTTAATCCCATTAATCTCAAACGAATGAAGGCCATAAAAATGTTGGCCTTCAGGTTAGTTAAAATATTCATATGTAAGAAATAATATAATCACATAACTGACAAATATAGAGAAGGAATATTTCTAAAATATCAAAACTTAGTATTACAATAAAAATATAAATAAATATATAATTTATTTATATGTCAAACTATAAACTCAATTTATTATTTCAAAACATATATTCAAAATAAATTATATTAATATATCATTAAAAGTAACCCAAATTACCTTGGCAGCATCATAAAATGGACAGAACCATTATTGTAATCTAAAATCCAGTTCATTTAGTGCAATGTCTCAAATTTAATAAAAAAAAATTACCAAAGTAGCTTACACTAATTAAATTTAATTTAAATTCACTTCTCCTGTTTTGAGTATGGGATTTTATAGTTTTAAATAAGCAATTTCCTCCGTAAATTATATATTTACAGTCAGTCTAAAGATCTTTGGTGGAAATGTTCAAAATAATGTGAAAACGTGGAGCCCAGCTAAAAGATACTGAAATTCACAATTAACATACTTAGCAGTACTAAACAGAAATACTGCAATAAATCAAAGCATACAAATAAATGTGGCAAAGTAACCAATTTAAAATCTAGCGCCACCCCTTCCAGATAAGGATTACTATTCACTTGTCTTAATATACCAGCTTTCCTTTTTAAAGCTAAAGCTATTCAGTAATATAATATCTTTGTGGATGAACAATGACACATGTAAATGTGCACAGAGGTCTACAGCAGAAAAAGAATACAGACCAAGTCTCTCAAGTTATGCAGTTTGTATAAGTTCCAGGGCTAAAATATTCAGATATGTGATGTAGAAAGGAAAGGGTGGATGAATTAAAAAGCGACTTTTGTAATTTCTCTTGATGAACAATATAAAAGCCAATTCACATTAAAAAAAAAAAGTAGGCCATATTCTCCCATAGTGGGATTTTTAAATGAAACTGGAAAGTATTTCTTTGTTCTTGTTCCCATTCTTTTCAGGCAAATTTTAATGCCTGCAATAGAGGAGAGTGTCATAATGGAACTATTATATTACTGTTAGTGACTATAAATCTTCTTACTTGGAAGCTGCAAGATAACAAACATTTCATCGTAAATCAGTTATTAACCAAAACTTAAATAAAAAAAAATTAAAATAAATAAATAAATAAAATGTTTTCTTGGGAAAAAATCTTTTTTAGCATTGAGACAATGGCAGGAGGAAAGAAATAAGGCCAAATATGCCAATATGGCTTTACTGAAAAAGTCCCAGGATATACAATATTAGACATCAGAGCATTATCTTATCCTTTTTTTTTAAACACTAGATTCTGAGAAAAGAGTACAAAGGCACGTTAATTAGATTCCAACAAAATGGCTTTTCCCAGCCAGAAAGAAAAGTATGTACGAAAGACTATTCAGTTGAGCTTCATAAAATATAACTGTGGTAATGTAGTATTATTATTAATCAAAAGAACTAACTGTTCAGAGGATTTGAAAATTTACACATCATTTAAAAATTATGCAAATTATATTCTATGCTTTTATATGTTTTACTTATTTAATAATATTTACCATTTAATAGACAGTTAATCTAACACAGCTTGAAATAAAATGGAAAAGAAAAAGGCATGTTAATTCATTGGCTTCAACAATAATATAAAATATAAGAACATAAATATTTCCAATATCATATTCACTTTTAAAATGTATTTATTTAGAAAATTTATTAGTAAGTATGACTAATGATCCTCTAAAAAAAGTATAATTGGGAATTTTTATAATTGCAATAAGATGTAAATATTTTCTATTTGTTGGAATCTGGTATCAATTGCAATTACAAAAAAATTGAAAACGATTTCTAAAAGGGTGAAAATACATATATTTACCTGCAGAAACTTACTTGTTTCTGCAAGTAAATATATAAATTTACTTGTGAAAATATATATTACAGAAATTGATAAATAAAAATAACATGACATTTTTTTAGGTAACCATTCAGAAAATGTTCAAAATTATAATATTAGTTGATTAGATATAATGCATTAACCAGCCCTAAGAATTATAGCAAGGATACTTTCCAGCATATTCCATGTCATTTGGATCTACACCTTCAGGATATGGATTTAGAGGAACTAATGATTTCTTTTGAGGACAAAATACCAACTGATACAAAAATGTGTTGTTTGCTTTCAGAAATGATTCTTTATATTCATCAGGTACAACTAACTTTGGCATCTTTAAATAGCTAGGTAGTTTGGATAATACCTGAAAAAAAGAAGGGAGAGATTAAAGGACTCAATAATAACGAATAGATTTATTATTTAACAGGGAGGGGGGAAAAGCTTTATTATTGTAAACTAAAAGTTTGAGAATCATAACAGGTATACATTTTTTTTTTTTTTTTGGCTTACAAGACACACTTCTTGCGCAAGTTTAAACTAGGTTTTAATTCACATAAATATATTGCTCAAAAAAGAAAGTGCATCTTAAAATACATCCCAGCTCTCCTCTCCAATTTCCTCACGGTAACAAACAATTTAATTTTATGTAGAAACTGCTTACTAGTATCACTGTCCACATTTCTTTTTAAAAATAGTCATATACACATTTTCCTGCATTTTTTGAACAAGATGTCATAATTATTTTATTTCAATAGAGGCTATTCAAAGACAGTTTAAAAGTGCAAAAATGAAGATTTTTTTTTTCATTTATTCTCCTCCCTTTTTATATAAAATGTTGCTGTTATAAACTCAGACAGAAACAAAAGGTATACAAAGGAATATGAAAATAAAGCTGTAGGTCAACATCTGGACATTAGTAAAATAATTCTTGATGCTTTTTGTGGATATTTCTTTAAAATGGTCAGACATAAAACCATGACTGTTCAGTAGTAACCCTCAAGTGCCGTTGTGTGCAGAACGCTTCACATGGCAATCATAAGCCTATCAGACATAAAACCATGAGAGAATATGGTGATTTAGTTGTGATCCTCAGTACAAAGACTAGCCAACAACAGCATTAGATATTTCAATCAATATACCATTTACTGATTCCAGAAGGGAGGGATATGAATTTTGACTTCTGAATGACAGCCTTCCAAACACACACTCTGGGAAAACAAAGAAATTATCAGCATTCAGATTGGTAGAATAGGTATCTATAGTTTGGAAATTAATCTGAGAAAGAATACTTCAGCATTCATTTAAAAAACAAACTACATTACCATTTATTAGGATGGTCAGAAGGCAATATATCATGTGGTAGAAGGCTCATAAAACTCCAAGTCTAAATGTGAAGTTGACTCCAGGTCTAAATGTGAAGTTGATAAAAACAACTTAGAAGAATCAAATTTTCATATTTATTCAGAAGGAAGTGTTTATAAACATCCAAATTTTAATTTTCCAGACAATCTAAAAAAATGACACATGTTTGTTGTGGATGTAAAAATGATTGTAGACAAACCAGAAAAACATAACACAAAACTGTCTACGGAAAATATAATAAAGAAAAATATATGAAGTAACATATGTGATAGCAGATGTCATTAGTATCTGGCAATCATTTTTATCTACAATATTGTACAAAATATATAAAAAAAAATCTGTTAACAGAAACTTTGCTCAACCTAAAAAAATATGTCACATATACAGGCATTAGTCTCCTGTTTCACACTGATTCTTCTTAAAAACAAGAGATTTGTAAAAAAAAAAAAAAAAAAAAAAAAAAAAAAAAAAAAAAAACACATGCACTGTGATATGAGGAAGATACACAGAAAGAGAAAAACTTTGAATACGGATTTAATGTGCATAACTAAATAAACATATTTTTAATATTTAACCGCTTGAAAACATATTAAACTGTCAAAAGATTTTTTCTGTTAATTATAATATGGCTGACTCCTCTTTCCTGTGTTTTTTAACTGCTTTCACATTAACTGTCAGCATTACCGCAATATTACTGCAGTTAATCAGAAGTCATTTGCATAACTATTAATGGATACCACTTTTTCAAACTGAATCTTATTATAAAATATTTGTTTTGAATACTTTTGTTTAATTTTACTAATTTGATTGAGAGAATTTTTTTTTCCTTGATGATCAAAGAAATATGACATATAGATTAATATACAATTTGTTTTCCAGTAATATTTTTCAAATTAAAAGTGAACAAAAATATACCTAGGCACTTCTTGGTAGCACTCTATGTAGCTTCTCATTTTAGAAGAATAGCTTAAACTGTTAAGAAAAATGCATTTTCTCTCTTCATATATCTTTTTATTTTAAAGTAAAGCTAATCAGAGCAGCAAAGAGATTAGTTATTGTCTTCATGCTATTATGTGTTATCTTTAATGAGTCAATTCAGAAAATTTCTATCTTATTTCAGCTGCTTCTTAAGGTTACAAGTGATTTTGTTCAAATGTGAAACATTTAGAGCAATAACAACTAAATATAAATGGGTAAATTAAAATCAAAAGCAGATTCAAGAAAAATAATACATGGTTTCAAACAAAACACAGGGTTGTCCATTTCCTTGTGGCAACAAAACAAAAGAAGTACCATTCTTCTTCGATGTATTAGAAATGGTTTAAACTCAGCTTAAAGAACACATGTTTTAACAACTGAAAATCCACAAGAGGAAACATCCTACATAAGATGTAGAGACACAAAGACCATTCCCATCAGTACCTGGAAACTGGAAATATAATCTACATTAGCAATGAATCATATTTCACTATCAAGCAAAGTGACTGACAAATCTGAGACAAATAACCAAACTTGTTATGACAGATGAGAATTTAGTAGAACATGTCACAGCACATTTTTTTATGGCTTTTAACAGCTTAGATACAATTACTGGGCATTTCAACACTCAGAATTATGCAGATGCATTAAACAGTTCCACACTATCATTTTCAGGGTAACAATATCTTGCAGTCTTGGGTTTAACTTATCTAGTCTAGGGTTAATATAATCCTTATATTTATAAAGATAAAACATTAATCTTCATATTCTTAAACTGTAATCATTGCAATAATAGTTTTGATAAGATGTTTTGAAGAACATGCTTATTCTTCACAATGTTTCAAAATCTTACTTAGAGTATCTGAGGAGAATCTGGGAGGGGGAGACAAAATATTTCTTAAAATGGATTTTGAAATATATTGAAGTACGTATGTTTATTGAAATGCTAATTTACTTGTTCCGCTTCCTCAGTTAAGAGTCTTTCTACTGAATCTGGTGGATAAATAATTTTTTTAACTAAAATAAAAACACAACACATAGCTGCAACTTTGAAATATGGAAAATAAGTTTTTGTAAGGTTTTCACTACAGCAATGTTATTTTAAAAGAACTTAAAATTAATGTCAATTAACTTTATAATAAATCATTCAGACTACTGAATTATTCATAATGCAATTCAATTATAAATTATGTTAACATTTAATTAGATATTCTAAATTTGATGCCCTCTACCCAATTTTATTTTGTAGTTTTCTTACACTTTTGTACTGGGAAAATCCTTAATAAGGAAGAAAAGACTTATTTACCAAAATACTTTAAAGTACGATGAAAATAAAACTAATAATTAATACCTTGATGTAGTATACATACTATTAGTAATGTACCCTTTATTAAAAAAATTAAATACAAATATTAATTTATTAAACTGGTTGAATCTTCATAAATATTCTACAAACGCCTACGGTAAATTAATTCAATTTTGATCAAATTAAATTGAATCAGAAAAATCACGCTAAAAATTATTAGATGTGGGAGAATGGAATTTAAGTTTCATAATTCAATAAATTTATTTATTATCAGGAAATATTTTTCCTAGTAATGGCTAAAAATAAAAATAAAAAAAAAAACTGGGAGATTAAAGAGACATGGTAAAAAACAGTGAGTATCTCAATGAAACAAGGAGGGTGTGGCAGCTATGGCAGTATGAAAGCAAACAGAAAGTTCATAGTGAATTCAATAAAGTATGTAAAAAGAAGACATGAAGACACTGAAAACTGAAGCATAAAAAAAAACTTACTACTGATAAATCTGTATTATTTGTTAGCATAAAAAATTTACAAGCTTTTGCCAGCCCTATGCCAGGCAATGAAGGCAAATAATCACAGCCAGACAAAATACACATATAGCGAAATTTCTCAAAGCTGAATTTTATAGCATTAACTCCAAATGATTTGGGGAGATTCTCCTTTTCGTACAGCAGACCACCTCCAGCACTATCCATCTTGAAAAGAATCTACAAAAAAATAAATAAATAAATAAATAAAATAAAAATAAAAATAAAAAATAAAAATCATAATATAGTAAACACTTTTTTGAAATAAACAAGACAACCAGAAAAACAATTTGAAACATAAACAAGCAGATTTTATTTCATAGTTATTGACAAGGGCTTTCTGCAATATGCGATACATTCAACATGTACATGTACAGACAAAAATTTACTTTCAAAACCTTCTGTAAAAGTACTACTTGAAAATATTTTTATATTACAGATTCAGGTTATTAAATTGATGTTTAGGTACTTACTTAATAATTATACATTTTGAACAAATATTTTCATAAACTATTATTGGAGTTCTCAGTTACAACTAGTTTTAAGCTAAGTCACACTTGCAGACAAAAATTAGATCATCAACATTATTTTCAATGAATAAAGATGCACATGTGCATTTTTCAGATTTATGAATTAAATTTCAAGCAATATTTTTCATAAAACTTATTAAATAATGATAAATAAAAAAATCTTGATATTGATTCATATCAGTATTGCAAAGTTTATGAGAAATTATATATTTTACAGATGTGAACTTTGTGATTATATATAATCATAAAGTTGTGAATTCCATGCCATCACTGAGGTCAGTCAATTTTTTGACAAATTCATTAATTATATATAATCATGTTTACTGAGAAATGGCATTATTATTAGCATACACAAATTTAATATTTATCACACATATAAATATTCTGCAAATAAAATTTATATATGAAGTCAGCTCAACTAAACATCAAACTCCAAATTTGAAAGATGGAGGAAATGGTTTTAGATAGTTTGGATGTTTTTGACAATCAGCTATAAAGACATTTTTCCCGTTATGAATATAAAAAGACATTGAGGTTATCCTATCTATATGAAGCATTTAAAACCACCAGCATAAATACAGTCCTTTAACTATGAATCCTCTCAAAGCTATGGACAATTAAATACTTCAGAAAATTTAAATTAATTTATTAGCCCTCCTACACTGTACTTAAATAATTATACTTACTCTGGTGCAGCCAAAGAGAACTAAATCAGAATCTTCTGTGATTATCAACTGTGCAATTTCAGCTTTGTCTAAATATGCTAATTGAGCATCAGCTTCATAAGGAGCAACAATGCAGTCAATTCCTTTCTTCTTACATGCCTGTAAAAAGAAAGACATTAGTGAGGGTTTTATCAAAACACTGCTCTCATGTATATTTTATGCAAGTTTATTCCCCAGGAAAACATAAACAGACATTTTGTATATATCCTTTGAAACAGTAATGGAATTTAACTAATTTAATATAAATATTAAAAGAAATATATAAATAAGTACTTTAACAGAATTTTAATAGTAAAAAAAAAAAAAAAAAAAAAAAGGCGCTTATGAAACTCTGCTTGTAAGTTCTTTAATGGAATAGTTCATTTACAAACTGTTTAAAATATTTCTGGAAATTATGTGACCAATGCTGCACCCTTAATACTCGTACGGCATTCCTCATTCAGAAAAAGAGAACATATAAATGTAAGATTTAAAATTAGGCACAAAAGAAACCTTAGTTTGGCAAAAATGTTTTCAGTTCCCCGTCCTGCACATTTGTGCAGAATTCGCCCTACTGAAGAAGGAGAGACTTGTATCAGATCATGCTTCAAAATCAATAGAATTATTCAAAATCTAAGTCAAACTTGGGGTTTTTTTTGGGGGGGGGGCTTGATTTGATTAAAATCCAAAACGAGCTATTTGGTGACATAATCCCTCACATGGCAACATTTTTCTCTAATTTGGCAATTTTTATAGTGTATTTTGATGTCATTTAGCAACTTTATCTGTTAAAAACTACTTGATACGATTAACCGAATTTTAGATCACAATAAGCAATGTATTTTCCATGTTTTGGTATACAAATGGGCAAGACTTCAGCCATTAACAATATCTGAATGATAGCATTAACCCTGATTACATTAAGCAGTATATACTCTACTCAACTGTAGCAATAAGTATTTTAAATTAATTTGTATTACAAGTTTCTGTCTTAGATTTTATAGAAATTGTAAGCATATAAACACAGAAAGTACATCTATTAGAAATGGGAAAAATCAAGCTGAAGAAAAACTATTAAAGCTGGTGCAAGAAGTATTTTATAAATGGTCTTAAAAAATCAGGTATGGTTCCAAAGGATATTATATAAAAAATCTTAACCCTTTCAATGATAACACTGGATTACTTACAACAGAAGACAGATTAAAAAATAGTAATCTATCTCACGAGAAAAATTGTCCCCTTATTGCGTTTTCTAAACATAAACTAATACAGTTAATAACACATCGTTCAATAAGTCCCGGGACTAACCAACAAATGGCATAGTAATATCAGCCTGACTTTGCTGTTCGAAAGAACTAACCTTCAAATGACACATGTCCGATTTTCATGGCATTCGGACCGGAAACAGCGAAGCTACTGTGGTGAAAGTGACACTACTTGTGCATTTGTGGACAAAATGCGGAAAAACAAATTTCGACTGTTGATCAAACATTGCTATTTAATGGGCAAAAATACTGTCCAAGCTCAGCAATGGGTTGAAAAATGTTATTCAGACTCTGCTCCATCGAAAACACCCATTTGTCGTTGGTATGTTGATTTCAAGTGCGGTTGCACGAATACAAACAATGTGGCACGCTCGGGTAGGCCAAATGAAGCAGTCACTCCGGAAAATGTGAAACAAGTGTTGAAAATCATGATGAATGACTGCAAAGTGAAAGTTTGTGAGATTGCCGAGACGGTAAACATATCAACTGGAAGTACGTGTGCGATTTTACATGAAAAGTCAGGCATGAAAAAAGTGTTTTCCAAATGGGCGCAGCATGTGCTCACAGTGGAACAAAAGCAACAAAGAGTCAACGATTCACAAAGCTGTTTGTCACTGTTTATTCGCAATAAACAGGATTTCTTGCTTCGGTATGTGACAATGGACGAAATGTGGATCCATTATTTCACTCTGGAGTCAAAGCGGCAGTCAGCTGAGTGGCATGCAGTCGGTGAAAGCTCTCCGAAGCGTCCAAAAACACAACAGTCAGCTGGCAAAGTCATGACATCAGTATTTTGGGATGTGCAAGGTATGATTTACATTGACCACCTTTAAAAGGGAAAATCTATCAATAGTGCCTATTACAGTGAGTTATTGGTGCATCTGAAGGACAAAATCGCAAAAAAATGACTACACGTGAAGAAGAAAAAATCACCTTCCATCAAGGCTATGCTCTGTGCCACAAGTCAATGCAAACACTGGTTACATTGAACAAGCTGGGCTTCACTCTGCTTCCCCACCTACCATACTCCCCAGATCTAGCTCCTAGCGACTACTGGCTGTTTTCTGATCTGAAAAAGATGCTCCAGGGAAAAAGATTTCGCTCGAATGGGGAAATCATCGCTGCCACTGAAGCTTATTTCGTGGACAAAGACAAATCGTTTTACAAGCATGGTATAGAAAAGTTAGAAAAGCATTGGAATGATTGCATAGCTCTTGATGGTGATTATGTTGATGAATAAATGTAAATTTTGTGAATAACACATCGTTCAATAAGTCCCGGGATGTTGTTTTCTTAGTTAGTCCTGGGACTTATTGAACGATGTGTTAGTTAATTATTATCATCATGCAGATCCTAAATGCTTATTACAAGACAAAAATTTTGGATTGTAAATGGCAGAAACCTTTGTAGGAAAATAGTACATAATTGTTTAGCATGTTTCAAGGTGAACCAGTAATGTTAAATCAAATTATGGATAATTTACTCAAGGAATGAGACACTAAAAATTTCCCTTTTAATGTTTTAATGTAACTAAAATGAACTTCTGTAGTTCTTTTTCTGTCAAATATAGAAATCAGCAATTGGGTGTTTTTAGAAAATTTGTATGTGTATATTTGTTTTGCAGCTAAAGCCATTCATATAGTGTTACTAATTTAATAACGTCTTCCTTTATTAAAACATTAAAAAGATTTATCTCAAGATGAAGTAAACCTCCCCAACAGCACTGCATGTTGCTGAAACATTGCAAACGTGTCGCATTGTGATGACCTCAATGTCGCAGTAACGTTCTAGGAATGGCTTAATGTCCGCTTTTTGCGACGTCACATTGCGATGTTGATGTGAAGTCAGATTGGGACTTTGATGTGTGTGACACTGCTGTGAAGTCACGCTGCGACTTTGTGTGTGAGTTACATGCGTGTTGCCAAGTTACACTGCGTTGTTGTGAAGTTACAGCAATATGTTTGTGAAGTCACACTGTGAAAAAACTCATTTCGACTTAATATAAAGCCATAAGGGCCAGAATATTGCACTAAATGTAATGGATGTCACGCAACACTGGATTACTTTCTAAATGATTAGAGTGATGAATTCCTATTTTAGAGAACAGGTAACTATAGCAATGCTTTAATGATCCAGTAAGGTGTTATATTTTTCAAGGTATTAAAATACTTCAGTAATATTCGAAATTTTTAAATCATTGAAAATATCCAATATAATCATTTGAAATTTCCTCATCTTACTTAGGTTGCATCTCACCCTCTTAAGGTTATATAACTGTAATCCATTTATGTTTATTACATACCTGTGTAAACTACAGTGTACAGAAAATGCAGAACGTTACGATATATATGATGCAAAAGTGATCTATGGTCATCTTCTAACCGTATTAAATTGCTAATACTTTTGAGTATAAAGCTGTCCAGAAGCTATATAATTTTGCTTTCATTCTTTAGAATTTAATATTTAAAGACAGTTCATAATTTTCCAAAATTTCTAAATTGTATTAAAAAATCCGAGTTCTTATAACTTATTAAAATTTAATTTATTTCTTAATTTAACACCTCTCCCCCCCTTTCAAAAAATATTCTTTGGTTTGCAATGTTTATAATAACTATATTTCTTAATACCTTTTTGTCCCCCTCATTCTAAACAGAAATACTGTAAAAAAAATTCAAATTGGCTTAGAATATTTTTTTAACAGTTTTCCTTAATTGCTTTCCTTCCAGAAAAATAGCTAAATTATTTTGATAAGGATGAAAGAAAAACAGTTTCAGTACTATATTAAAATATAGGACATTTACCTATTTTATTATCTTGTTATATAACGGAATGTTTCGTTTTGAATTAAAAGCTTTTATAAATCCACCCAATCATAGAAATTAGTTAACTACAATCTTTGTTTCCAAATTAGCAATTTGTTGCAATACTGAACAAATAGTTACGGGTACAAAAGTCAGTAGCTGGGAAAGGTGGTTATGGAAACTAAATTACAGGAAATAAATATTCATACTAAGTTATATTAGTTATACAAAACGGGCATTCTTTTTCACCATTATTACTCCATTGACGAATTACAATTTATGAGATTTTTAAGCTATAAATTTAAAATAACTGTCTTACACTGCACAGCTTCAATATATTTAAATTATTGTATTACGGTAAAAATATCACATAATTTGTTTCATTTGATGATTAATGTGAATCATTTGTTTTAAATATTTCAGCATTTCCTAAACACATTTTTCTGTTATCTCAACAAATAGAGTACTATGCAAAACATAACAAATTTGCATGAATTAATTATTCCAGTTTATAAAACCATTATTGTTACCAAAGCTGACTTACAGAAAATCTGCATTACTCACTTCTGAGAATATACACTATACTATGACATTCACAGCAATGCTTAAATACTATTCGTAGCTCGTACTATTTGTAGTATTCATTCAGTTCACTCTGCTGTTTATGTGCTAAAGTACACAAGCTCCTTTATTTAATCAACACATTTGGGGAGTAAACACTTATTGTATACTGACTTGAATGATAGCAGTAATAATTAATACATAATATTTGAAATAAATTTTAAAATTATATTAAGAATGAAACGATTATCGATGAGAAAAAAATACCGAAATCATGAACTTTTATAGAAGTGCAGAAAAATCATGAAGATTTTCTATTCACAAATTTCTACAAACATACAATGAAATCAGGGCATTTGAGATTAATTTAATACGATTTTTCAGAGCAAAGATTGTAGAGTCATTAGGTTAATTGGAAGCAGAAAAGATGAAAAATATGCAACCGCCTTCGCCGGGAATCGAACCACAGACCTCTGCTACCATTACACCACGA